GGGGCCTGGGTCTTGGAGTGGGCGTGGGGATCCAGCACTTGGGCCTTCTGTTGCTGCTTTACCCGGGAGCGGGACCAGAAGTGGAGCAACTGAGGACTGAGCCAGCGCTGATACAGGATGCCACATCACAGCTCTGATACAGGACGCCGTGTCACAGCTCTGATACAGGATGCCGTGTCACAGCTGATACAGGATGCCGCGTCACAGCTCTGATACAGGATGCCACGTCACAGCTCTGATGCAGGATGCCCGCCACGGCTCTGATGCAGGATGCCCGCCACGGCTCTGATGCAGGATGCCCGCCACGGCTCTGATGCAGGATGCCACATCACAGCTCTGATACAGGACGCCGTGTCACAGCTCTGATGCAGGATGCCACATCACAGCTCTGATACAGGACGCCGTGTCACAGCTCTGATACAGGATGCCGTGTCACAGCTGATACAGGATGCCGCGTCACAGCTCTGATACAGGATGCCCGCCACGGCTCTGATACAGGATGCCCGCCACGGCTCTGATGCAGGATGCCGCGTCACAGCTCTGATGCAGGATGCCCGCCACGGCTCTGATGCAGGATGCCGCGTCACAGCAGAACTCTTCACTGGCTATGAAGCACACAGCTGCCTGCTGCCCATCGCGCTGTCGTACCACATCAACCGTCTAAGTATATTCAGATTGTGCAACGGATATTTATAACTTTCTTCTTGCAGCACTGAAACTCTGTGCCCACTAAACACAAATTTCCCCTCCCAACACCCCCTCAGCTTTATACTTCCTGTTTCTATGATTGTGACTAATTTAGATTCGTCATACAAGTGGGGTAACACAGTGTTTGTTCTTTTTTGAGCAGTTTATCTTCACATAATGTCCACGTTGGAGCAGACTTCCTTCTTTTTTCAGGAGTGTGTAAAATTCCACTCTGTGTGTCTACCGCATTTTCTCCATCTGCTCAGCCACGGTTTTTCCTCTTGGCTCTGAGGAACAATGCTGCAAATAACACGGTGTGCAAGCATCTCTTCGGGCTCTGCTTCAAACCCTCTGGAGAGCTGAGCAGACCCAGAGGTGAGATTGCTGGACCATCTAGTTCATTTTCAATTTTTGAGTAATGTACGTAAACATGGCTGCACCATCTCACCTTCTCACCAACCACGCACAGAGGTCCCACCTTCTCTGCAGCCTTGTGAATGCGCACTATTTTCTGTTTTTCGGGCAGTGGCCGTCCTGACGGACGTCGTGTAGATTGGATTTGCATTTGCCTAACAGTTAGTGATATTGAGCATCTTCCCATGTGCTGATTGCACATCTGTCTGTCTTCTTTGGAGAAGTGCCTATTCAAGGTCTTCGCCCATTTTTAAATTGGGTTATTTTGCTGTCCCTGCAGAGTGGTAGAATTCCTTACGTATCACGTTGCCTTTTCATTCTGTTGCCTGTTCCTTTGATGTGTGGACATTCCAAGTAGTCTCATTTGTCTTCCTGAATTTATACAACTGTTTCTCTTCTCAGATCTGAGATGTTTCAAGCCATTAAATTCTTTCTTCAAATCATCTCTCTCTGCTCCTTTCTGTTTCTCGTCTCCTTCTGGGGCTTCCATATAAATATGTTGTTCATTTGATGACATCCTATAAAGTCCTTTAGCCTCTCAAAGTCCCTTAGTCTCTCCGTTTTTCATTAGTTTTTCTCTTTGTTCCTTTATACCTGAACTTACTGATTTTTCTGCTCCTCCTGGCCCAGTCTTCTATTGAATCTTCTTTTGAGGGTTTCTACTAAGTTACTGTCTTCTTCAGTTCCAGAATTTCTGTCTGGTTCTTCTTCACAGTTTCCAACCCTTTGTTGATAGTCTCATTTTCATCGCACATTACTTTCCTAATTTTACATAGTTGACTCTTTGTTCTCTCTCTCAGAATTTCCATCAATTTTTTTTTTTTTGGACAGGCAGAGTGGACAGTGACAGAGACAGAGAGAAAGGTCTTCCTTTGCCGTTGGTTCACCCTCCAATGGCCGCCGCGGCCGGCGCACCACGCTGATCAGATGGCAGGAGCCAGGTGCTTCTCCTGGTCTCCCATGGGGTGCAGGGCCCAAGCACTTGGGCCATCCTCCACTGCACTCCCTGGCCACAGCAGAGAACTGGCCTGGAAGAGGGGCAACCAGGACAGAATCTGGCGCCCCGACCGGGACTAGAACCCGGTGTGCCGGCGCCGCAAGGTGGAGGATTAGCTTAGTGAGCCACAGCGCCGGCCTATCAAATTTAATTGATAAGATGAAGTATAAGAAGAAGAGAGAGCCATATCCACCTATGTGGAATCTGACCAGCATTGTTGGACGTTTGAAATGTCTTCTAGTAGACTCACAAATTATTCTTAATTTTAAAATATTTTAATGTATTGAGCATCCTTATGACGGTTATTTTGAATTCTTCATCTGGGAATTCATATACCTCTGTTTCTTTGGGGTTGGTTTCAGAGGGTTAATTTATTTCTTTACATGTACCATGTTTCTATGTCTCTGTATGCCCAGTTATTTCCGCTGGGATTTGGGCATTGAAACATCAGCCACCTTTCCCAGACTTTGGTCTGGGTTTATACCAGGACGACGTTCCCCACGCAGCTCAGCGGGAGGCTCCGGACGCCTTTTCTGGGACGCGCACTCCGGTCTTGGCGAGCTTTGCCTCCTGGTGGAGGAGGCCTGCGGTTCTGCCTCCCCGTTCGCGCAGGTCTGGGGTGCCGTGAGCGGCGGTGGTGGAGCGCCACCTAGTGCCCGCCTGTGGAAGTCCGATTCCTGCCGGCTCGGGTTCTAAGGGTCGGAACCCTGCAGCAAAGGAGCAGAGGGTCTCCTCCTGTCCCTGTAACAGCGGAGGTGGGAGGTGGGGCTCTGGGAGGGTGCGCTGTGCCAGCACCCGCTCCAGGCCGGCAGGAAGCTCTGCCTTAGCCTGGGCCGCGTCTCCCAGGGACGCTTGGTCCCCGCGCGGGACTGGGGGCAGGAGCAGGACGCAAGGCTTCCTACTCCACCACCTGCTTTCTTTTGATACTACACTTGATCTTAGCCAAAAGGCCGAGAAGCGATGACCTGCTTTCTTTTGATTAACTATTTTGTAGTATTCCGTTTTATCTCGACTCTTGGGTTTTCATTAATACCTCACGTTCCTTTCTTGGCAGCTGTGCGGATTGTGACAGGCGTGTGACGTTACAACAGGTCACCGTGGAAAGGTCCCTACTTCATGAGCGGTGTGACGGGCTCAGGGACTCCACCCCAGCCTCCCTCTCCCGTCCTCTACTTACATCCACGGCTGTTGTTGACAACAAAGCCAGCGTGGCTGTCTGCACCATAGGCAATCAGTAACCCCACAGGGATGTTTCAGACATGACAATGTCGTCCCTTAAATTCACTAGCGTATTTACCCTTTTCTCCTTTTTAAAAATCATTGATTGACTGATTGACTGATTGGAGAGGCAGCGAGACAGAGAACACCCTTCCTCTTGCTTACTCCCCAGGTGCCTGCGGTGACGGGGGCTGGCCAGGCTGAGAGCCAGGAGCTCAGCGCGGGTCTCCCTCGTGGGTGGCAGGGACCCAGCTTCTGGGCCATCACCTGATGTTTCCCAGAGTGCACAATAGGAAGCTGGCACAGGAGCAGAGACAGAAACTGAACCTAGGCGTTCCAATGTGGGTATGGGCATCTATTGTTAAGGATTTATTTACTTATTAGGAAGCAGTGTTACAGAGAGAGGGAGGCAAGGAGGGAGAGAGAGAGAGAGAGAGAGAGAAAGAGAGAGTGAGAGAGAGAGGTCTTCCACCGCTGGTTCACTCCCCAGATGGCCACAACGGCTGGAGCTGCACCAATCCAGAGCCAGGAGCCAGGAGCTTCTTCCGGGTCTCCCACGTGGGTGCAGGGGCCCAAGGACTTGGGCCATCTTCTGCTGCTTTCCCAGGCCATAGCAGAGAGATGGATTGGAAGTGGAGCAGCCAGGACTTGAACCAGCGCCCATATGGGATGCGGGCACTGCAGGCCAGGGCGTTAACCCGCTGCACCACAGCACCGGCTCCAGGCACATGTTTCTTACATACAGAAAAGGGCAGGCTGCTTCCTGCTAGCAGGTGGTTCCCAGGCAGGAGGCTCCTTCCCTCTCCCCCTCCCCCTCCCCAAGTCTGCGACCCTGAGGGCAGCTTCAGTTCAGCAGCAGAGATGTAGTACCAGAATCAAAGCATCCAGCCGGAGAAAATGGGTCACGCTGAACCCCTGGGCCGCGGGGATCCCGAATGCATCGCCCCGCCCCACAGCCACCTGGTACTCCCCGGTAGGTCAAGCCTATGCACACCCTTGACCCAGCAATCCACTCCTGTATGCGATCCTCAAAGAAACGCTTGCACAGGCCCGAAAAGGAGCGGGGCAAGGATGCTCACTGTGCACTCTTTGGGGTGACAGGAAGTCGGAAGCCCCCGGGGATGCACTTTCCCCGAGCTGGACAGGTAAAACACGGAGCTAGATAGCACGCGATATCATGCAACAGTTAGAAACAAGAGTCGACGCACACGTGATAGTACTGTGATCTCAAGAACACAGTGCCTAGTGGCAGAAAACTGGCTAGTATTTATATCAATTAAAGACACAAGCATCAGGCCGGCGCCGTGGCTCACTTGGCTAATCCTCCGCCTGGGGCGCTGGCACCCCGGGTTCTAGTCCGGGTTGGGGCACCAGGTACTACTCCCGGTTGCTCCTCTTCCAGGCCAGCTCTCTGCTGTGGCCCGGGAAGGCAGTGGAGGATGGCCCAAGTGCTTGGGTCCCTGTACCCACATGGGAGACTGGGAGGAAGTACCCGGCTCCTGGCTTTGGATCGGCGCAGCTCCGGCCGTGGCGGCCATTTGGGGAGTGAACCAACGGAAGGAAGACCTTTCTCTCTCTCTCTCTCTCTGTCTATAACTCTACCTGTCAAAAAAAAGCACGCATCTACCTGTCCAAAAAAAAAACAAAAAAAACAAACAAACAAACAAAAAAAAACAAAAAACAAACAAAAAAAAAACCACATGCATTTAAAGCAGTGCCGTGGATTTTAAAGGACGCATTGCAATCAGTAGCACACTAGCCTGCTGTCCATGGGCAGAGAAGGGAACAGAAACAGGAGGCAAAGGAAGGGCCTCACACAATGGCACTCGTTGGCTACGAATCCACAATGGGACTCGCTCTGCACCTGAGGATCAAGAAAGCAAAAAGGAAACGTGACACGAGGCTGACAGCCCCACAGTGTCGATGACACGCTGTGACAGCAGCTGCAGGGCTCATCAGCTGTGACCAGACGCCTGCAGGAGGCAGGGAGAAGGGCAAGCCCTCAGAGGGCACACGCAAGCCTGCCAGCCAGCCCCTGCCCATACGGCCTGGCAAGATCCAGCCTGCGGGGGCCAGCGCCGCAGGTTAAGCCGCAGCCCACAGCAGTGGACTGGGCAAACAGTCTGGGCAAACACATGGGAGAAGCGGTCACGGAACAGACCGTGGCAGAAGCCCGAGTGCTTCAGGAAGTTAAAGCCGGCTGCCTCGCGAGGATCGCAGGGACACCCAGGCCCCGTTCAGGTTCAGGGAGCTCAGAAGGAGGAGAGGCAGCACACAAGTGAGGGAGCATAGAAACCCGACACTCACAGCTCACTCACAGCTCCCCAGATATTACTGCCCGGCCCCTGCAAGTCTGCCATCCCCACCCCCAGCAGAGGGCCAGCCCCGCCCATTCATCCCCCACCCCCTCACCATTCCAGGGAGCGCCCACCCACTGCCCCCAGGCCAGGGCCAAGGCCAGGGCAGCTGCCCGAGAAGGGTTGCAGACCGCGGCAGCTGCTGTTTTCCAGCCGGTCGACAGGCTGTTATAAACACTCGTCCTAGGTTGCTATGGCAAAGTGAGTGTGCGGCCTGGCTACGGGGGAAGCTATTTATGTGCCTGTCATGGCACAGTGGGCTGTTTTTTATTATTTTACTTTTAGAGTTTTCCTTTCCCAACCTCCTAAAACAGCTTAAAAAAAAAAAAAGACCCCAGCTCCCCCGCTGAGTGCTGATCGAGTCTGAGCACTTGAACAGCTCCTGGTGCCTAGAAATGCTTAGCAATGCTCTCCTTGTTGTACAGGGGCAGCTGGCACACAGGCCCTGAGGGGTGCTGGTCTGATGTTTCCAGAATGTCTGGGTTTTTAGGAAAAGCTCAGGGTCTGGACTTCCTGTGTGAAACGCCTTCCATTTTTAAGGATTGGCCACTGGTTCCCAATGCGCTTCACGCGGCGGGGGCCTGCGTGCTGTCAATGCCACCGTCCCTCACGGCCCAGCCAAGCCCTGGGACGAGCGCTGGCAGTGGGTCTCCTGCTTGCTGCCCTGTCTCCGTCACACGTCTTGCTCCCTGGGGACATCGTGGGGCAGGAGCTACGTGAGGAGAGGGAGGAGGGGGAAGCAGAGGCTTCTGTGTAGTCCCTGAGCCTCAACCTCTGGGTACGAGAAGCTGAGAGACCACAGACCCCTCCTCAGGGTGACCATGAAGCCAAAGGGACCAATTTTTCAACAAAGACCTTATCTGTGAAAATCAGCCTGGGGTGGGCGGGCATTGCGATGTAGCGGGTAAAGCCGCTGCCTGCGACGCTGGCATCCTGTATGGGCCCACTTCTGATCCAGCTCCCTGTTAAGGTGCCTGGGAAAGCAGCAGAAGACTGGCCCTGCACCCATGCGGGACGCCCAGATGAAGCTCCTGGCTCCTGGCTTAGGCCTGGCTCAGCCCTGGCCGTGGCAGCCATTTGGGGAGTGGGCCAGTGGGTGAGTGAGCCCTCCGCCATGCCCTCTCTCTCTGTAACTCTGCCTTTCCAATAAATAAATACATCTTAAAGAAAGGAAAGCAGCATAACCTTGATCTTCAAAGCAGTCCCTTCACTGTCCCTGGTGCCTCGGCACCCGGCTGCCCTCGGGCTCCTGCCTGGCAGGTGCCTTTAGCGCCGGATGACCAGACCCTCGGGATGATCGGTGTGAGTTGTCACACAGCCCTTGCGACCTCAATGCTATCCCCATCCAGGGGCTTGACTGTGTTCACATGTTGGAAAGCGAAACAGCGCTGGGAGGTGGAGCCTCGGGGGAGGGGCCGTGGAGAGTCCCCCCGCGGCTCCGTGCGATGCTGCAGGAGTGGGTTCTGATGAGAGGCTGGCCCGCTCCTCTCTCGGGCCTTCTGGCTCTGGCTCTCTCTCTCACCTGCCCATGTGCTGCCTTCCTCCGAGTGATGGTGCGGCCCTGGATCTGGGACTGCCCGGCCTCCACGACCGGGAGCCAACTACAATACTGCCCGGCACCCGTGACCCGGCCTGCGGTGTCCCCATCTGAGCCAGCGCTTTCTACTCCAGCCACGGAGATGAATGGGCGTCTCTGCTGCTGAGAGTAACTGAAATCAATGCACACGGCCCCTTGGGGGGTTCCCAAGGTGGGGCTCTCAGGGTGCGTGAGGCCCCAGCAGCAGGCTGGACCACGTAGGAACCTTCCCGAGTCGGCGGCTGGGGAGGAAACAGCACCAGCGTGGACACACGAATCGCCATGTCTGCTAAAACCCGTCCGCGCAGGTTCTAGCATCGTGCGCTCGCCAAGCGTGCCTCGCTGGTTTTCTGACATCCCCAGCGCTGGCTCCTGTCTCCTCAGGCTTTCCCGCTGGGCAGGAAGGAGGCCGAGACTCGTCTTCCCAACTTAAGAGGGCTGCAGGGCGAGTGCCAAAGGCCACACTGCTCGTCTGCCCCAGAAGGCTCTGGTACCCAGAAGTCCTTCCCCTCGGCTCTCCTGCTAGCGCCCTGCCATCCCCCAAGGGGCTCGTCTTGTCACTCAGCACTCACCACGTGCCCGGGGGGGTCAGGGTTTCTGGAGAGGAGGCTCTCGGTACTGAAGACACGGATGCTCCTGGACTGACATCTTCCTGGAAGAACAGAGAATGGCTCCTGAAGACAGCGGGCCTGTCCTCGGAGCACCTGGGCCCGAGCAAGGCCCTCTTCCTATGGGCCCCGATGTCCTGTGGGGAGGGGGTCAGAGGCCCAGGAAGCTTGCACTGGGAGACCCGGCGGTGCTGGGAGATGCTGGCACCGGGCATGGAGGCAGGCTGGGAAGAGAGCTCCTGCCGAGGGGCCCCCAGCCCTGCCTGGGACGCTGGTGCCAGGCTCTCCTGCTGCAGCTGTCCCCCAGCGGCTTTCCTCAAGAAGAAACAAAGCCCCCAGCCCAGACCACCCGCTGCACCCTTTCTAGAGCCCTGCCGGCCTGTCTCCGGAGTCGCAGCTGATGGTCTTTCCAGCCTGTTCTCCACCAAGTGCTCAGGGGAGCCGGAAGACCGGAAGCTTAGAGAAGGTCACCTCTGGGAGGTGCCAGGTGCATTCTGGGTGCAGAATGTGGGGCAGTCTGGCCTCAGGGATCAGAAAGAAAAACCTACCCAGGTCTTCTTGCCTTGGAGGCAAAAGATCATAAATATTTTTGGCTCACTGTCCAGGCCGAGGCAGTCAGTGAGGGCATGCCAGTGACCCGTAGGTAGGGGACACGACCTGCAAGATGAGAGGGGTGCAGGTTACGGGAGGGCCACGGGAGGTCCACGGGAGGCCCATGGGAGGCCCACGGAAGGGCCAGCCGAGCAGAGCGGGGCACCTTCCCCACCCTCCGCAGACCTGGGCTGGAATCATTTCCTGGAGGAACAGGGGACTCGCTGGATAGAAGCTGAGAGGGGAAACTGGGCCCAGGGGTTCCAGAGCAAAGTCTTTCTCACAGGCCTTCAGTGAGCTGGGCCTTTGGAGCAAGGCCATGGCTAGTGTGTCAGGTAAGTGCCAAGGGCTCCCCAGCCCAGAAGTGTGCACCCCTGGAAAACGAGCTGGGCTCTAGAGGACTGCCAGGCGAGGTCATGAATCCCACGGTGTGGGGCTGGCACCATGGCGCAGTGGGTTAAGGCCCCTGCAGTGCTGGCATCCCATTTGGGGGCCGGCTTGGGTCCTGACCTCTCCGCTTCTAATCTAGCTCCCTGCTGATGCGCCTGGGAAAGCAGCAGAGGACGGCCCAAGTCCTTGGGCCTTTGCACCCACGTGGGAGATCTGGAAGAAGCTCCTGGCTCTTGGCTTCAGATCGGCTCAGCTCTGGCCATTGCAGCCACTGGGGAGCGAACCAGCAGATAGATGAAAGACCTCTCTCTCTGTCTCAACCCAGGACCGGCAAGGGACTCACGCTTCTTCCGTTTGTTCCAGGTGCACAGGATGCAGGAAGCCGTGATGACCAGCAGGAGAGCGAGGAGCGTCGCGAACCCAAAAATGATGCCGCTGCTCTGGTCCTGACCTCTACAAGGAAAACCGCAGCGCGCTCCAGCCACGGTGGGCCGGGGCGGGGTGGAAGGGAAGCCGAGGTGTGTGCTGGGAGAGGCCCTCTCTGAGCAGCAACTCACAGAGGAGAGATGCCCAAAGGACAAGGGAGCTGTCCCTCTTGGACGCCTGCCTGGGGGGTGGGGATTTTGTATTCAACATTACGACAACCTTATCTCTCTGTCTCTTTCTGTGGCCTGAGCAACCTGAGATTTTGAGTCAGAAAGGAAAAGTAGGGGCGGGTGTGTGTCACAGCGTGTTGAGCCACAGCTTGGGACGACTGCATCCTGTACCCGGGTGCGGGTTCAAGTCCCAGCTCCTCTGCTTCCGATCCAGCTCCCTGCTAACGTGCACCCTGAGAGGCAGCAGGGGATGGCCCAAGTACTTGGGCCCCTGCCACCCACATGGAGTTCCAGGCTCCTGGCTTCAGTCCTGGCATTTGAGGGATCACACAGCAGATGGAAGATCTGTTTCTCTCTGTCTCTCACGATAAAACAAGAGAAGGACCTGTCCCGGATGACACAGGTAGGACTGAGCAGGGGCGGAGGTGGCTCTAGGTCTGTTGGATCCACAGATCACGCTCTCTCCGTTCTAGCACACCCCTCTCCAAGCTCACAGAGTGGAATCGGCCCGCCCCCTGCTCCTGGGCTTCCTGGCTTGCTCAGAGGAGAGGCTCACTTAGCTCACAGCAGGGAGTGGCGCTGGGACAGAGGCCAGCTTGCAGGAACTCCAGTAACCCCCACAGCACTAACTGGTGGAGCTGGTCTCCAAGCAACACTCAACTGCTGCGTGGAATTTGACCAAGGCAACCTGTCTACCCTGTGACTCCTGCAGCAGGGCAGGAGACACTGCTGGGCTTTGCAAGGGTGCGGAAGCGCGTCCAGCCGATCATAGCCCCAGGTGGCTGCACATATGGTACCCAGAAGCAGCCCGGGGAAGTGGCAGCAGGAATCAGCAGCTGACCTGCTGGCCCCAGACCCTCGAAGCCCGCCGTCTGCCAGGGAAGCTTTGTGTTCTAGGCTTGTATTCCTGCTTTCTGCTGGATGGTTCCTCCAAGCTGCCTAACAGAACTCCGGCTGTCCCACAAGGCGGCTCCGCGCTGGTGCGCACCGTCATCCAGCGGCCGGCTTGAAAAGCTTGGCCTCTGTTTTGCTTCCATGTGCCACTTCCAGTCCACCAGCAGGTTCTGTCTGCCCCAGCCTGGGCGTCTGTCCTAAGCCCAACCCTCTCTTCCTCTTCCGCTGCTGACCCCGCTGACCTATGCGCCCACCTCCCCAGTGGGTCTCTGCTTCCACACCCGGCTCCAGGGTGTGATGCTATACACATGGGCTGGGATGATGGTTCTAAAGAGCCAATCAGACTGTGTCCCTCTCCGCTTGGAGCCCTCCGTGGCTTCTCGTCACACTCAGACTCAAGCTGGGGGTCCACCCAGGGAGGGCTCCCCCAGAGCTGGACTTGGCCCACCAGCACTGCTTGCTGTCCCCGCCCATGCCTCAGCCTGCCTCGCCCTCCCCGCTGTCCCTCACCTCCTTCAGGTTTCTTCTGCAGTGCCACCTCCGCAGACAGGGCTTCCCTGGCCACACCCTGTCACCCCCAGTCCCTTTGTCCTGCTCTGCTGTGTTCACAGAGCTTCCGGCTGACTGCCATCCTAGTGAGCGGTCTCTACTGGTCTGGGCATCAGCCTCCATTCCTACCTGTCTGTAAGCTTCCTGTTCACCTACTGCCTTCCAGGCTGCCTGGTAGGGATCCCTGGCAGGGATCTGGATCAGAAGTGGAGCAGCTGGGACTCCAACCAAGCCCTTATTGGGTGCTAGCATCGCAGGCGGTGGTTGTACCCACTGTGCCACAGTGCCGGCCCCTGCAGTAAATCTTAACCACGAGAACAACCATATGCTGAGTCCTAATGAGTACATGAATACAAGAGTGGTCTTTGGGACGCTCGACACAGGATTCCACAGGATTGGTGGTTTTCAACTTTTGAGTGCATCAGAATCAACGAGAGGGCTTTTATAGACACATATTTCTGGGGCCAGGGTTGTGGCACAGCACACTAAGCCACTGCCTGCAATGCTGGTGGTTCGAGTCCCGGCTGCTCCACTTCCAATCCAGCTCCCTGCTAATGCGCCTGGGAAGGCAGCAGGAAATGGCCCAAACACTTGGATCCCTGCCACACACATGGGAGAAAAGGATGGAGATCCTGGCTCCTGGCTTCAGCCCGGCCCGGTCCTGGCTGTTGCGGCCACTGGGGGGGAGAACCAGCAGATGGAAGCTGTGGACTGAGACGCGAGTGATGTACCCACCGCTGCAGTGCATGGATCTTTACTGGATTGTGATTTGGACAAATAAACTACAAAATAACACCTAGGAGCCAGCTGGGGCAACGCGAGCAGACTGGCCACGTGACAGAAAGGGTCAGTCTTGCTAGGCAATAATGGCGTTATCTTTCCTTTAGACACATTTTACGGACACACACTTATCATGAAGGGACATGGTCTGGAATTTTTATGGATCAAATGACACTGATGTCTTGGCTTGGCTTCAAAATAGTAAGTAAGCTGGGAGCAGGCTGCTGGCCTCGGAGCTGCGCCGGCCGGTCCCCCAGCAGAGCACCTCTGGCTCCCGAGTCCAGCTTCCTGCAAAGCAGACCCTGGAAGGCTCGACCGCCTGGCTGCTGCCACCTGTGTGGGAGACCTAAACGGGGCTCCTAGGGCCCAGCTGTGGCCTCGTCCAGCCCTTGTTGGTGCAGGCATCTGAGAGTGAACCAGAGGACAGGTTTTCTCACTCTCAAAGTAAATACACAACAACAACAACAATAATAATAAAAACCTCAGGTGTGGACAGTGGAAGTGGGTGGGACTGGCCACGTGTGGATCGTTGAAGCTGCCAGACAGACATGGAGGTACGCTAGCCAACTCTGCTTTTCGGCGCACGCTCACACGGAACACGGCTGTAGCCTGGGCACGCGGCTCACGCTCACACGGAACACAGCGGCAGCCCGGGCACACGGCGCATGCTCACACGGAACATGGCCTTTCTATAGTCTGCCCAGGCGGACATCACCATGTTTCAGTTGCTCTTGCTGTCCCGGGTCACGATCCTCCGTGACTTCCCTGCCTGTGCCTGATCCGTCAAGCCCGGCGGGTCTCCCGTCACACGTGTTAGCAGGGGCCAGGTAGGTGGGTGGGAGAGACGTAGTCAGGGGAAGGAGCACACAGAGGAACAGGAAGCAGCTGGCCACCGGAAGCGTGTCCCGGCCTCCCGACGGGGACGGCGGCTTCCCATGGGACAGGGACACCGTGCTGACCTTACCATGGCAAAACCAACGTCTGCCTTCTTGAGGGCCGGCCCATCATTTGTGCCATCACCGGTGACAGCCACCACCTGCCGCTGGTCCCCAACGGTGCTGTCAATGATGCCTGAAAAGCAGACACGCGCCCCGGTGAGCTCGAGGCTGCCTGGCGGCTTCCGCCCGGCGCTGCCTCCCCGCCCCCGCCCCCGCACGCCCCTCTCCATCCTCTCTCCCTTCCCCCTGCTGCAAGGAACCTCCCAGGGCCCTCAGCTGCGGCTGGCTGGCGCCGCCGGCTGGGAAAGGCTGTCCTGTGCCGAGGAGAACAACACGGGGAGGATTTGAAGGCAGACAGCTGGGAGTCGCCTGCACCACTCTCCCCCACGAGTGGGCAGGCCGGGAGGGGTCCTGTCTCCTCGGCCTCACACGTCCCTTGTTGTATCCCAGAAGCGTGGCCCTGCCCTGACCCGTTCCCAGGACTACCGGCAAACAAGACGTGAGAAGGCTTCAAAAACCCAACACAGCCGCAGGATCTGGCCACCCAGGGCTCGGCTGCTTGCTCTCCCCATCCGCCTGGTGCTCTCGGGACAGGAGACAGCCCCCTCCTGCCTGTGGCCGCCGGCACCAGCTCACCTTTCACCAGCGTGTGCTTGTCTGTGGGCGAGGACCGGGCCAGGACCCGAAGCTTGGGCCAGATCTTGTCCAGCTTCTCTTGTTCTACCTGCCAACGCCAGACACACCGTGGCTCAGCCAAACACGCAAAGCCACCTGGGAAGATCTGTCTGTGCCACACACGCCGAGCTCTGAGAGATCTGGGGCAGACAGGGAGCGCTTCTCCCGGCCCTGGAGGAGGTGACGCCAACTTAGTCTCCAAGGACAGAGCTATGGATGGCGGCCGCCGGGGTCAGCTGCTGGCTCCGGTGGCTACAGTGGTGCTTCGTGGTCTTAGGTTTGATTTCTACGTAGACCAGGAAGCTTTGTTCTGCTCCACACCTGGGCCACGGCCTCTCACAGCCTGAGCCACTGGGGACCACACGGCAGGGGCGACGGAAGAAGCCAAAAGACACAAAAAGTTGGCTTGTGAGCGATGCCAACAAGAAGGAAGACAATGGCCTGTTTTGCCAAGTGAGTGGCTCTGGGAGAGAGGGACGCTGGACGTGAGTTTAGAATCTGGCCGCCTTCTCCCAGTGCCCCTGATGCCTCAGGCTGGTGCCTCCCACCCAGGACCCACCTCGAGCCCAGCCTTCGCCCCCAGGGAGGCCTAGGTGCCTCCCACCCAGGACCCACCTCCAGCCCAGCCTTTGCCCCCAGGGAGGCCCAGGTGCCTCCCACCCAGGACCCACCTCTCCCTTTTCGTTGCGAATGAATCGGTTGAATTCTTTGCCTTCTAAGCACAGGAAGTCATCGCCAGGTGTCAGGATGCCACATTTGGTGGCGATGGCTCGGGCTGTGTTGACATTGTCCCTGGTCACCATTCTGACAGTGATGCCAGCTCGCTTGCATTTGGCGATAGCTTCTGGGACCTGTGGGGGAGTGAGGAAAGGAGAGGTGGAGGTGGCAGCAGTGGCCTCTGGTGCCTCCAGTGTGGACAGCAGAGAGGCCACTGACAAGCACTGCCCCGGGCATGGGCTAGGTGTGGGCACTGCTACATCTGGGGTTTCCTCACTTCCGTCCACCCGCGACGGTCACATTGGGATGGGCCCTGTTGTGCCAGGAGATGAAGGGCTCCCTAGGAGCCTGGAGAATGCTCAGCGCCCAGGGGATGTGCACCACAGGGGTGTTGGCTGAAAGGCGGTGGCAGAAGTCAAGGCTGGTGTTCCAGTTGATCGCACCAATGGTGTGTCCGCTGATAGCTCCACTTCTCCCTGACTTGCACGCCATAAACCCCACGAGTGCTGCCTCCCACCACCCACCACCCCAGAGCAGCTCTGGGGAACTGGAAGCCCCGAAACACCTCCTGTTGTGGGCGAGAGGCAGGTGATCACCCGCATCTTGCTTCCCACTAGGTCACGGCTGGGCCGTGGTGGTCCCCACCACCCTGCCCCAGGCCAGGCCAGCGCCTCACCTCTGGGCGCACGGGGTCCTCGATGCCCACGACGGCAATGCAGGTGAGCTCGGTGAGGACCTCGCTCTCGTTGTCCCAGGAGGGCTCGGCGTCGTCGAAGTCCCGGTAGGCTATGCAGATGGTGCGCAGCCCCTCGCAGGCCATGGGTTCGATGACGCTGCGCACCATGTCGTCGCGGTCCTTGTTCTTGAACGGGACCGCCTCCCCCTTCTTGTCCAGGATCCGATTGCACCTGGGGAGGTGCAGGGTCAGGAGGCGGGGTCCCCCCTCCCACTTCAGGCTGCTGCCATCCCCGCCAGGCGCTCTGGCCGCTCGGCTTTATTCCTAATGACACCGCTTCATGGCCAAAGAGCTCTTCGAGCCGCCACCCTCTTTTGAAGGCGTCCAGGATGCATGTGCGTGGGGCAGTGCCCGGGGAGCAGGAGCTGTGACTCTCCCACGTCATCTGTGCTCTTGTTTTTTTGTTCAAAGATTTATTTATTTATTTGAAAGGCAGAGTTACAGAGAGGCAGTGGTGGGGTGGGGGCAGTTTGTGGGGGTGGAGAGGAAGCCTTCCATCTGCTGGTTCACTCCCTAAATGGCCACAATGGCCGGTGCTGTGGTGTAGCGGGTAAAGCTGCTGCCTTCAGTGCCAGCATCCCATACAGGCACCGGTTTGAGTCCCAGCTGTTCCTCTTCCGGTCCAGCTCTCTGCTGTGTGAAAAGCAGTGGAAGATGGGCCCAGGTGCTTGGGCCCCTACACCTGCGTGGGAGACCCAGAAGAAGCTCCTGGTTCCTGGCTTCAGATTGGCCCAGCTCTGGCTGTTGAGGCTATTTAGGGAGTGAACCAGCGGATGGAAGACCTCTCTGTCTCTCTGCCTCTGTAACTTTGCCTTCCAAATAAATAAATAAATCCTAAAAACAAAACAAAACAAAAGCACGCAACTTTCCTTCATCAGAATCGCGGACGGGTGTGACGGGGAATGATTTCCACCACGGGCCGTGTGCACGGCACCTCACCGGCACGGCTGGCGTCGTTTCGGGAGAGCGTTCCTCTCCCTGGGTTCGGATGGCGAGCTGGAGGCTTCGCTGTCTAGGGTGCATCCTGGCCGTGCCACTGTTGGCTGTCATCACCCTGAGCAAGCTGAACTCCCCTGGGCCTGGCTTCTCCCCTGCACAGAATAGGTCAGAACTGGCCCTGACCTCACTGGGGTGAGGACTGAAGGCAACGGGCCACGCAGAGTGTGGGAAAGCAACGGCTGGCCGAGTAAATGCCAGCAGGCTCGCGGGGCCGTGCAGGGCCCGTGCGGGGCCGGGGGAGGGGAGGCAGGGGGCGGTGCTCACCTGCGCAGCATGATCTCCGAGGCGCCTTTGCTGTACATGCGGAAGCCGCCGGCGGGCTTCCGGACGACCGTGCTCATGGACTTGCGCACCGAGTTGAAGGTGTACACCTTGTAGAGCTGCTCCTCGGGCACCTCGTTGCGCACCGCCTGGTAGTCCTGCTTCAGATCTGCGACAAAGCCCAGCAGAGCACACTCGGTCTTGTTGCCCACCTGCCGCGGCAGGCCTCCCTCCTTCTCCGGAGGCTGAGGGAGAGAGAACACACAGGGCACCGTTGAAGACGCCGCCGGCCGGGGCTGGAGCACCAGGCAGGGGAAGACCTCCCCTGCAAATCTTGCCCGATCACACCCGGAGTGTGGGGGCGAGGAGTGTGGGGGCGAGGAGAGGGGCGGCTGCGGCAGCGAGGCGGGGGGTCCTTGTCCTCGTTGTCGGCCCCCTCCTGGCTGTTGAGTGGCTGGATCTCCAGGGCCACGCCGTCCTGGGTCTTTGCTAGGGCTCACAAACAGGACATGTGAGCGGGCAGGGGAGCAGCACGGAGCAAGGGGCAGGCAGGCAGGAAGGGAACAGCCCCCAGTGTCCTGATGTCTGCTCTGACCACGCCCGGCCTGTGCTGGACACGGAACCTGCCGTCAACCCCCTGTTAGGGCCCGGGGCTGAGCGTCTAAGCACTGGAGCGGGGGTGCTTGAGGGTCCTGGATTTCCTTTCCGGAAGCAGCTTCCTGGCAGCCCCTCGGAGCCCCAGGCCAGGTTGAGTGCAGCAAGGCCATGCATCGCGGCCCTGAGTGCCGATGCCAGTAGCCATCCTGCCTGGAACCCAGGGCTTAACATCTCAGACCCTGGATTATCTTCCAGCTCCTCGTATGAGCAGATGGAGGGGGGAAGGAGGACCCCTCCCTGCCCTGCCTGACCAAGGCCCCCCCGGGCGGTCCGTGTTTTGGGGAAGAGGGAAGTCGCTGGTGTGAGGGGTGTCCCTGGAGTAAGAGAAAGCCGGGACTAAGACGGACGCAGAAATAAACGCACTTTGCTTTTAAAAGAAGAGTAAAGGAAAACCAGCAATGACGGACGGCCGTGTCTGGCCCTGGTTCTCCAATGCAATGCTTTTTATTTCTAAAGACGACGGTGACGTGGGGCACAGAGGAAAGCAACCCCGCCCCTGGCGCTGTGGTCCCTGCGTGGCTCAGCCCGCACTGAGGCCAACCCGCCCGACACGTTGTCAAGCCCACACACACCACGGAGACACGGTGCAAACACGGCGACCGCAATAGAGACACACAGCGGACCAGGAGGAAGACAGCCTGGAGAGAATGCAGAGCGAGGTGGGGGGAGGCTGTCGCCCAGCGCCCCTCGGAGACCAGCAGAGAAGACCCCAGTGAGGAAGCCAGCAAGAGGAGGGTGCAGGGACTGCCCACCCCGACTCCCTCCGCCGGGAGGACCCTGGAAGTCTCCTGACTCCAAAAGGATGGCCCTTGGTGTTTTAAAAAAAAATCCAGCCGAGGGCAATGAAGCAGAGTTAGGCACCCCGGAAAGAGCAGATCCTCCCGGTGCCGGGTGAGACCTCGACGTAAGGCTCCAGGAGCCAACAGCAGAGGGCGCTCTTGCCCCATCTTAGATTGAGCCTGGGCGCCTCCCCACCCCATCTCTGCACCTTCCTCTGGGTGAGGCGTCCAGGCCGCAGCAGCAGGTAACAGGAAGAGGGGAAGGGAGAAGGCGGATGGCCTGAGAGGTCTGGTTTGAGCGTGGACAGGTAGAAATGGCAGATGAGTGTGTGGAGAGGTTACCTTTATTGCGATTTTCAGGGACTCCTTGTTTTTTACCTGTTTGAACAAGAAAGAACAAAGTGGGGTGGAGACCCAAAGTGGCCAGGAAGAGATCTGCTGTCCAGCCGGCTGGCCTTGCTCCGAGCCCAGAAAGGCGCCAGCCATGGGGCTGGGGGGAGGGCAGGTCGCAGCCGGGCCTTCGTTTGATCCCCATGGACGCAGAGGCTGTCCTGGAGCCTCGGGACACTGACCAGCAAGGTCACAGCCCAGCCACCTGCTCCGGGAGTGTGCCCGGGCTGAATCGCACCGCCTGGGAAAATGGGGGCGGCAGGGTGTTGGGGAGAGGGGTGTGAGTGAGCGGTCTGCGTGGATGGTGGCGGCCCGGGGGGTGGGAGTGGGGGTGCAGGAAGCTTCCTCCTTATCCGTGTGGTGGGTGCAGGAAGACATAGTCTCTCCGGAAAGCAGTGGGCTGCCCTGAGCGGCTCCAGCCAGGGGGCAGAAGTCCCCTCTGCCCGAGAGAACTCTTCCTCCTCCTGCGATTCCTTCCAAGACCGGCCTAACCTCGCGGGGCCTCTGCGTCTGCTCTCCTACTGACAGCCACTGGATCGCCCGGCCCCGCCCCGAGGGAGACAGCGTGGGCAGGAGGACGATGCGGGGGAGTGCTGGGCCCACAGCGCCTGGCCGGCTCACCTGGGCAGGCTCAGGAACCCGTCCCTTCCAGACCCAGCAAAGGCGCCGGGCTCGAGGCCCGACTGCAGCCTGCCCTGGGCGCCCAGCGCCAGGAGCTGGCGTCCATCAGAGCGGGGCTCTTCCTGCCAGGCGTCCGTCGAGATGAGCCCCCTCACTCTGAGCCCCCCTCCCCCCGGAGGCCCCTTACCTTTCTTCTTCTCCTCCTCGTCATCCTCACTGGCCCCCAACAGAGTGAAGATGATCCCGGCCTGCGAGTTGACACCCACAGCGGTCACCACCATCCGGCCAGAGCCTTCCATGACGTGGGTCCCTACACGGGAAGGGAGTTGGGCTTCCGGATCCAGCCACGACGTGGCACGAGACACCAACGCCCCCCACGTTAGTAACGCCCACGAGACACTCAGCAGTGTCCAGGGCAGCCCTGACTGAAGGAACAGAGCACGCGCAGGAGGCGGACGGAGGCGACCCTGAGGGCGGGGCACGGGACGGAGCCCGAGGAGGGGGCAGGGTCTGGATCCCGGCCCAAGGCAGGGGCCCTACCTGAGAGCAGCATGGGGTCTTTGTCCAGGGACTTCGGGACATGGTAGGACTCCCCCGTGAGAGAGCTCTCGTCAATCTTCAGGTCATTCCCCTGGATCAAGACTCCGTCGGCCGGCAGCAGGTCACCTGGCGCGCACAGAGGAGCAGTGACGGATCCGGAGGCGAGGGCGGGGGCCGCCCCCAGCACCTCCACGCCCGCTCAGCCCTCCGATCACCAGGGAGCACCCGGGGAGCCCCTCAGAGCCAGCTTCAGCTCTGTGCAGAGCAGGACAAGACCCCCTGCCTGCAGTCGGTGACCCCAGCTCCCGTCGCTCTCCCTATACCTTCCCAGGCCTGAATCTCACAGAGCCGCTCACAACCCCACGACATGGCGCGGGCCTGCCAGTCACCTGCAGAGAATCCATTCCCAGGGAAGCGAGCACATGTGTGTGTGTGTGTGTGTGTGTATGGGGGGGGTCTCACCTTTCAGCCACTCCCAAGCCCCCTTGGGCGCGAGTGGGCTCTTACCGTACTTGATCTGGGCGATGTCGCCCACCACGATGTCAGCCACCGGCAGCTGGATGAGCTGGCTGTTGCGGATCACGGAGGACTTCTGCTCCTGCTCGATGCGGCTCTGGAGGCCCCGGAACTGCTTCTCCTTGCTCCAGTCGTTGAAGGCGGTCACCAGCACCACGATGATCACCGAGAACAGGATGGCCGCCCCCTCGATCCAGCCGGCTTCCGCCTCCCCTTCATCCTCCGCGCTTTGTGCAATCTGACCACACACTGCACAGGGGGAGAGAGACAGAGGGTCACCAAGGGGCTGGGGGGGGACTGTGGCACCATCCCCCCACGATGGAATGGCAGGGAGGGGGAGGAAGAAAGCGGAACCCTTAGGCTATCACAGGGCAGTGGGATCGTGGGGTGTCTCATCACCAGGGTAACAATGTTTATCCGGGAGAAGCACAGGACCCAACGGCCAAAAAAAAAAAAAAAATCCCATGCAAATTACAGGCAAGTCACATAGACAGACCTGGTGACTCCCAACACGCTGGGGGCCCCAGGGCTGCTGCCCGGCGTGCCACCAGCTGCCGGGGGCCCTCGGAGAGGCAGGGCCGGGAAGCTGGTGGATGGGGGGACCCTGGACATTCTGGGGGAGGGGGAAAGACCTCCGAGCGGGAGGATGGGTCGGAGAAAGAGCTTCCTGTCTCTGGGCAGCGGGGGTTAAGCTTTAAGCTGCAGCCCCTTAACCACCAACCCCGGGGGGCTCCCTGGTGGTGGGGACGAGAACCCCGGGACCCCGGCAAGGCCACGGGTGGCACTCACGCTCATTTTCTCCGCCGGGCGGGCGATAGAAGGACAGGACCAGGGAGATGATGGCCGCGATCTCCAGGATGATGAGGGTGACGTCTTGAAGGGCTTCCCACACCAACTCTAAGAAGGTCTTGGGCTTTTTGGGGGGATCAGGTTCTGCCCAAACACCTGCCTGTGTTTCTCCAGGTCGACAGGGTTCCCAGAGAGACCTGCAGAGGAGGAAGGGGAGGGGGGGGACACAGGAGGGGGCAGCTAAAGAATTCTTTTTGACAAAGCGCCTCTTGCTTCCTGGTCTTCCCACCCGGGAGGCCCAGTGAGTGTGGCCAACTTTCCCAATCTGCCCAGGACCGCAGGGTCTAGAACCTTCCAGCTCAGGATGGGCGGAGTGGGGCTGGCTGGCCGCAGGCGCCACTCACACCTCCCGTATCTCAGAGAAGCCAACCCAGGCGTAGGGCTTCTCCGGCTTCTCATCGGGTGCCCTCTGGGCGCCGACCCCAGGAACAGCAACATCGAAACGGTTCTCAGGCTAACATGAGGACGCTGCCCAGGATTTGAACAGGGCCGGCCTCCGTCCACGGGCTTCACGCCGAGGCCATCTGCCCATGGCCGTGGGCAGTGCAGGCGCCGCCGGCCCTCGAGACCCGAGGCGCTCACTCACTGGGGCAGAGGCTCCGAGACCGTCAGCCCTGCAGCTCGGCCACACACAGCCGGGGAGAGGTCCAATGTCCCAGCAAGTCCCAAGCCCTCAGAATGTGCTCAACAGCTACAGAGAAGCACCGCTAAGAGAGGGGAGGCCGCGACCTGTTCAGATACCCCCCAGGCCAGCACTGCGCACACCCTCCCCAGTGACACACACCCCACATCACACACACCACACCACACCAACACACAGCACTTGGGATCTCACTGTATACAATCCCCACCCTGCACACCACGCAGCACACACACGTGGTCCACAACACCCCCACCCCGGCACACATGTCCTAAGAGTTCTCGAGCCCCTCTCCCGGCCCCCCGGGGGGGGGCCTCCTCTCTAAGGGAAGCCCTCACGCAGTGACTAACGCCCACCGGCTCCAGCACGCTGTTTACACAGAGCAGCGAATGAGTCCTGGTTTGGCACTGGGAGCTCTTGGCTGCCCGGCTGATGGGTTCCCCACAGGCAGGGTGGGGCCGCGTGTTTGAGTACAGGTCAGCAGCTGAGCAGGCTTGGTCGGCGGAGGGGATTCGCACACCCTGCTGGGCTTCTCCCAGGCGGCGTGCACCAGGCAACACCAGCAGAGGGCTGGCAGCCCAGGGTGACACAGAGGACCTCACGGCCGGCCCGCTGCGGGGGCGCGAGCACAGAACCAAGGGTGCAACTCGAAGGACAAGGATGTGGGTGAGATCTAAGGCCAGACGAGATTTTGAAAATGGGAAAACAGGAACTCACAGGAATACTGTTGCAGGGCCTACGACGGCCCCCAGGCCCCACCCTAAAAGCAAAAGCCACGGGCAGGGGTCCTGTCTGGGAAGGCAGTCGCGGGGGAGGCCGCCTGGACGCCTTGCTGGGAGAACTCTCACTAGCCAGTGCTGGGGGGTGGGGGGGACGACACAGGGGCTGGGCAGGGTGAGGGGGCGGAGTCCGTGTTCCTCTCCAGGGTGGCCCCCCCTCCCTGGTGCCCGAGTCCTTCACCCTGGCCTGAGTCCCGCAGGGAGGCGCCCCTGCCTCCGCCGCCCTGAGAAGCCAGGTTCCCAGTCGGGAGGGAAAGCAAGGGCCTGGGAAAGGAGAATGGGGCAGGGCCTCAGGGTCCCCAGGCAGGCAGGGGCAGGCCGAGTGGCCCGAGGCCAGGGCCTGGCCACCTCATGCCCCCCAGGGACTGGGCTGGCAAGGCTGTGACGAGTGGCGACTTCTTCCTGAAGCGGACCCCCGTGTGGAGGGAGGGACGCCCTTCCTTCCCTCACACGGCCAGTGGATGATGGTGGGGCAAACCAGGACGGCAGATACTAAAAGACATGCAGTGTCCTCCTCCTCTCTCCCAGCGCTGTGTGCTGTAGGCGGAAGTCCCACCAGCTCTACCTTCAAAGTACAACAAAAGTCCAGCCACCTCCCCTGCCCACTGCTGTCGCTCTGGCCAAATTATGGCAGGCGACTTCTCCTCGCCTCCACTCCACCCTTGTACCCCTGTTATCAACTCGGTGGCCAGAGGAGCTTTGCTAAGATCCAAGGCAGGGGGCCGGTGCTGTGGCGCAGCGGGTTAAAGCCCTGGCCTGAAGCACCGGCATCCCATATGGGCGCCAGTTCGAGACCTGACTGTTCCATTTTCCATCCAGCTCTCTGCTTTGGCCTGGGAAAGCATGAGAAGATGGCCCAAGTCCTTGGGGCCCTGGCACCTGCGTGGAGACTCGGAAGAAGCTCCTGGTGTCCGATCGGCATAGTTCTGGCCATTGCAGCCATCTGGGGAGTGAACCAGCGGATAGAAGACCTCTCTCTGTCTCTACCTTTCTCTGTAACTCTGTCTTTCAAATAAATAAAATAAATCTTAAAAAAAAAAAAAAAAAAGACCCAAGGCAGGACATGTGACGTGTCCGCTCAGAGCCATGTGGTGGCTTTTACTGGGGGGTGAAACTGGGCACCAGGGACCTTGTGATGCCCTCCCAGCCCCCCGAGAGCCGCCAGGCCCTCAGCCCTGGCCCCCTCCTACTCATCCCTGCGCCGTCCCACGGGCTGGCCTTCCTGCTGTTGTGGGAACGCACCGCACAAGCCATCCCTGTGCCGTCCCACGGGTCTCTGAGCTGCTCCACCCGGCACCCCCAGTCACCCCCATCTTGGCGGTTGCTTCCCCCGACAAGGGCTGTCACCTCGCAGGTGACATGATGTGGTCTCTGGGGGTCTGTCTGAGCCCTCCACGGGGGCAGGCAGCCTGGGTTCCCCGGGCCTACAGCAGTGCCTCCTCCGCCACGCACACGCAGATCGCTGAATGAACGGAGCGAATGAGTAACAAAGTGGAGACTGGGTGCCAGACGCTTCCGGCACACCCGTGCCTCTCGTTCAAGCACCACGAGGGCAGCTGCTCTCAAACCCACTTTACATGGAAGCAAGCCGAGGCCTGGCGAGGCGGTGCCACTCCGCGGGCTAGGGAGCGGCAGTGTCTGTACCCCGGGGAGGTGGCTCGATGCCCACTGGGGGCAGCTGCGCTCAGCTGAGGCTTCGGTCTTATGTGAGCAGCCTGTCCCAGCCGGCTCCAGACCTGCCAGGCTTTGCACTGAGGCTGCTGCCTGCTGGGAGCCGCCCTCCCTCGCCCCACTCCTCACTCCACGGGGCAGGCCCCACGCCGCCCCCACTGGACGCATTTGGGGGCAGTCGGTCCTGTCTTCCTGTCTCAGGGGTGGGGGACATCAAGGCGGTCAGATCCAACCTGTAGGCCTGTTTTGGGCTTAAGAGAGAGAACGAAGCAAGACCTTAGGGTCAGCCTCGCCCTTGCCTCGATGCCCCCAGTCACACCCCTGCTTCCTCTCTGCCATGTCTTCTCATCTCTGCTCCACCTTAAGCCGCCCTGCGCTCAGACCGCAGCTGCCTAATTCTTCTGTCAAGTGTCCGCCCAGTTCCCAGCCTGCCCTGCAGCAGGGCAGGGCAGGTGGAGCCCTGGGAATCCTCTCTGCCATGTGGCCTGCACGGGGAAGCCATGTGGGCCTGGGAGCCCGGCCAATCCCCAATTTTGGGCTTTTCCATTCCAATTCTTTCTGCCCCAGGAGGCTCTCCGGCCCGGTCTCAGCAGCTGTCATTTCACACACATGCTTGTCCCGCCCCGGGAATCCCGGAGAGGGGAGAGGGTTTCCCCTCTTAGAAATCCACCAGGAAGACAGGAAGCCTGGCCCCCAGCGTGGGAGGGCGCCAGCCCCACCCAGCCCCGGAGGACTCCTGGCTCTGAGAACCCCACGGAACCCCTGCCCGGGAGAGGCAGAGAGTGTTGGGCGGTGAAGTCACTGCCCCCACCCGAGCCTGGGGGGCCGGGGAGTCACTGCCGGCACAGGGGGCACGAGAGGACATTTGTGTGTGCTGAGAGCCTGCGCAGGACCCAGGGCCTGGGAAGAGGAGTGGGGCCCAGCCCTCGGGGATGGGCCCAGGGCAGGGGGCAGGGGTACCCCTTATCAGCACCGGCTCAGCTCCAGAAAGGGTGGGGCTCGGGCGGGACTTCCCAGCTGTCCCTGCAAGGCAGCAGTTTCTCGGGCTGGGAAGGCGGTCCCCTCTTGGCACACAAGAACGGGCAGGAGAACGCCTTTCCTGTCCTGCCTGAACAACCCCTGAAGCGGGGACGAGGGGAAGGAATTCCTTCAAATCCCTGCGGCATGCAGACAGCTGCTGTTGCTAACCAAGTACTTTCCTCCCAGGCGGTGCAAAGCAGTCTCCCCATTTCAGCGGCTCCAGCTTAACACGCCCACAGCCTGGAGAAGTGCTCCTCTACCCGCCAGACTCCCAGTCCCGAGGGATGGAGCTGCCCGCTCAAGGTCACAGCAGGAGGAGGGGGACTTGGGAGACCAGCCTCCTTTCCTCCTCTGGTCCACAGGGCCCTGTGGGTAGTTCCCTCGGGGTACACCTCCCTGCATCCAGCCCCCTGCTCTCTGCCTTTTCTGAAAACCTCAACTCTGGCACAGGGCAGAGAAAGCTCCCAGCATGCCCTCCTCTCGCCTTCTGCTCTGCCACCTTCTCCCGCAATGCAAGCCTGTGCTACCAGCCAGTGTCACACCACCGGCGCTCACACCTTGGAGCTAAATAAAGAGAGCCAAAGCCCCACTTGCAAGGGTGGATGCACTGTCTGCCCCAGCCATCTTTCTGCCCACCCCCAGCCGCTGGTTCCATGCAAGGCAGCACAGGAAGGCTGAAAACCGAGCCCAGCAAGCGTGGCTGCTGAGCCCCGGGGGACGCAGCAATGGGGGTCCAGGCCCAGTGCGAGGGGAGAACGCAGGGACGCTCTCCCCGTCACGCTGGTTACCCAGAGGCCCGGCTCTCAGAAAGGCCTCTGTGGAGCCTCTGGGGCGGCTGGGCTGGAAAGAGAAGGCCCACAGCTGTCCCTCACGCAGCCCTGGGCCTGTCACTCAAACCAGACAGGGAGGTCCCGGGTGCCGCCTGGAGTTCCCTGCGCAGGGAGGCGAGCCAGGACCAGCGCCCTTCTCAGCCGGGCCGCCTCCCCCACGGCTTCCCCCACCCGACCCCCGCCTAGGCATTCCCTTGATAAGGGCGGGTCCTGCCTTGACCATGCGCACTGCAGTGTGGCTGGGCCCCTTCCAGGCTGTCTGGGCTCAGCTGTCCACCACCACCCCTCCCCACCCCCCAGGACCTCCTTCTGACTGGAACCTCCTTCCCTCCTAACCTGGTGCCCGAGCTGCGGCAGCCAGAGTGACCGCAGAAAGCTCAGCGAGGCGCACGCCCAGGGTGCTGTGAGGATCATTTCTGGTGGAGCGGGGGCGAGAGTTCAAGGTGAGAGGAGGAAAGGTGGATGGGAGCTACGCTGCCACCTGCTGATCCGAAAGCTCCTAAAAACAGAAGGTTCCAGGTGGAGGGACAGGGCAGGGAAACCTCCAGGAAGGCAGAG